AGAGAGAGAGAGAGAGAGAGAGAGAGAGAGAGAGAGAGAGAGAGAGATATGTTGTGCATATAGCAATCCATTTTTTTTTTTGTGCATTAGTAAAGTTAACATTAGGCAAATGCCTGCTACCCAAGCAGATATTTGTAATGGTTAAAAACTGAGTTTCAGGACAAAGATTATTCTCCCGATTTCCCGCTCGCCCCCCATGCGTTTAACAATTTTAAGAGACATTCAGACAGGTAGTGATACAATCTGCATCTTAAAAGTTTGTTAAAATCCTGTGAAAAAAGATATACCTGTTGGAGATTTGAAGGTTGAGTAAATCTGTGCATATTTTTTTCAGGGTTCTAATGACAACACAAACTATCTTTGCTCTTGTAGTTATAACAAGGGCACCAGAACCTTCTGGTGTGTGTATCCAAAGTCTTGCAGCTCACCACTGTGTGTATGTCACATACACACAGTATATGCATGTATAATTTGAGAGCAGCTTTTAACTTCCTAATAAAACAAGCCCAAATATTACAGTTAATCATCTCTAATTATAGATAAAGTTAATTCTTGTCTTGCAAATAATACTGTTCGAGAAGAAAAAGGAAAGACTTTGAGGAACTGAAAAGTAAATCTCTCACAAATGACTTCAAAGAGTAAAACTTCTTCCCTTTTATCTTAAAAACCTTTAGTCCTCTTGCTAGTGTAGACCAGGCCTTAGATAAGAGTATGACAAACATTTTAAGAGTGCCAATTCATTAAAAAAAATTCTTATTCGATATAATAATTAGAACTTATTACATGTGATGCACAGTTCTAGAACATAACACTGAATTAACTACCTTGCATACCATTTAAATTCATACAGTGGTTTAAGAATCAGATCTTGGTAAAAAAGTTATTCCAAGAATGATGCAGCTACATGCCAAATAGAGAGTTAATTATGTCATTAAGCAAAGGAATAATTCCATTTTTGAACTCTGTTTTGAAACCACAAGTACCATAAACTTTGTATGTTCCTATTGATTTGCATTATAAAGACTCAGAAGTGGCACTTACTGGTATAGTACAATCTATTTTGAAGGCAATGCAATGTTCTGAATAAGTGAAAGCACAGTAACAGTATACAAAATATAGTTGCATAAATTATGTTCCCCACAAGTGAATGAGGTCATTTTTGTAAATCAAGGTAGGTGTCAATAGATGTAAGCTTAATAGCTAGAAAGTTATACTGCAATAATACATTCAAAACCTGAATCAAAGAAAAATTTTGCAGTGGTTCAGAATACTCAGTTGTACCAACCACAAATAAAATCACTTAAGAACCCTCAATGCACTGTATACAATGTAGTGAACCAGCTCCAAAACCTTAATGATCTTCATGTCTTCAGCACAGTTAATGAAAAGTTAAGACCAGTAATCAACTTTTAAAATAGAGTTACATGTTAATAAAAATAAAGCTAGACTACACAATGTTTTGTAATTGTCCTGGGAAAGAGGTGTTCATAGTGCACAAAAAAGACCCAAACACAACTGTTTACCATGTTCACAGAAATCCCGGGGCTAACAACTGATGTTCCTATAAAGTATCAAAAGGCAGCAATATCCTTCTGTTCCCTCAGTGAGGTAGAGCTATTAACCTTCTGAACATGCCACCCAGATTCAGCTATGGATCTTTAAAGCGCTCTTCAGTAGTAAATCCAGGATTACATTTTTATGCCCTCCTGTTGGCTGAGCTGTGATAATGTTTTCTTAATGCGTAAAGCTGTTAGCCTGGCTGCTCCATTGGCATACCAACATTCACGCATAATTTTGGCCATTACTCGTAATGCCTGTAAAAAAAAAAAAAGAAAAGAAAAGAAAGGAAAAAAGTCTATACATTTCTCTATCCCTGAATAATCATCCTTATTGTGCCTTAGACTCTTAGAATTCACATTTCTGAAATTTTTGTCATTGGTGCTACTGTGATATGCAAAAAAGTGTGTTGTGGTGGGAAATCCAGATTCTCATTTTGTTTAAGAAAAATAAAAGGTCTCTAAAAAGTTCTGAGGTGAACTGTAACACTTGTTTCAGTACACTTAGGCTCATATGCAGAATAATAAAATATTTATGAAAAATTAGCTTGCCTGGGAATTGTTCTCTCAAGTTCTGTATTAGATATGTACTTCTAGTGTTTTGTGCCTCCAGTTGAAAAAACTCAAGAGAAAAACATTCATATGTTACCTAGAACTGTCATGTGGGAATATATTGTGTTGCATGCTATTGAAAGACTAATTAATACCTTCTTTTAGTTATCAATTTAGGAGAAGTCTGCATGGCTTCAGAATACTCCATAATTCAACTCAAGGGGGAAAGTTATTCATGCTCTTTGTTTAACAATGTTCAAGAACTACTGCAGACATTTTATCCTTTCAAAGAAAGTCATCCATTTTTTGAGATCAAAACTAAATAAAAACTCTACGAGGGGATGATAGTTTAAAGTTCTATAAAAACAGTAATGTTATAAAGTCACATATAAATTTGAACCTTAGCCAAGACCTATGACACCAGAAAATGAACGTCTGTAAAGGGTTGAAACTGCAGTACTAAAAAAAAAAAAAAAAAAAAAAAAAAATGCTGGTCCAATGGAAAGATGGCGATAATCCTTATTCTCAAGTAGTACAAAAACTCCTGAATCATTGTTCCCGGTGCGTTATTTAAGTCAGAATGCCATGGCACCAAGGTGCTAGATGGCCCAGAAATACCAAACGTAGAAAGATCCCACTCAAGTAAGAAATGATTACTTACCTGTACAGTCACTATGGTTCTTTGAGATGTGTTGCACATACATTCTACTTTATGTGTGCATGAACCTAGTGCACTCAAGCCAGAGACTTTTGGTCAGCAGTATCCATTGGGGCAGCACATGCACCCTGAGTGTCCCTCATGCCTCCAACCACAGCCTCCAACTAATAGCCACAAGCAGTGAGAAAGAACTGAGGTGGGATCAGGACAGTTCTGCCCTTTGTGTCTTCAGTTGAAGGCATGAGGACACTCAGAGCACATGTGCTGCCCCAATGAGTACTGCTGACCAAAAAAAAGTCTCCCACTTGAGTGCACACACCTGAAGTGGAATGTGTATACACAACTCATCTTGAAGAATCCTAGATATTCTAGCTTTACAACCAATATATTCTAGAGGGCATGGGGGAGTGGAGAATACGTAGAAATAAAGGGCTTGAAGGGACCTCAAGAAGTCACCAAGTCCAGCTCCCTGTGCTGCAGCAGAACCAAGTAACCCTAGTCCATCCCTGACCGGTGTTTATCCAACCTGTCTTAAAAGCCTCCAAAGATGGGAATTCCACAGCCTGCATTGGAAACTCATTCCAGAGCTTAGCTACCCTTATACTTGGAAATTTCTTCATAACATCTAACCTAAATATCTCTTGCTACAGGTCTACTTTCTATGCCAGTCTACAAAGGAGGCAAATGTGGTTATGCTCAGTGTCTGTATTACTAGACAGAAAATATCGTAATGGCATTATATAACTCCATGGTACACCCACACCTTCAGCGCTGTGTACCATTCTGGATGCCCCATCTCAAAACAGATACATTCGAATTGCAAAAGGTACAGAGAAAGACAACAAAAAATGATCAGGGGTATGGAATAGCTTCCATATGAGCAGGGCTTTGGAGCAGAGCCCAGAGCTGGAGCGTGGAGCAGCGGAGCTGCAGGTTTTTGCCTGGAGCTGGAGCGGAGCCGGAGCACAGCTCCAAAGCCCTGCATATGGGGAAAGATTAAGAGAGACTGGGACCTTTCATCTTAGGGGAAAAAAAAAAAAAAGAGGCGTAAGGGGAGATACAATAGAGATGTATAAACTCATGAATGGTGTGGAGAAAGTGAATAAGGAAGTTTTATTTATCCCTTCACATAACACAAGAACTAGGGATCACTCAACAAAATTAATGGGCAGCAGGTTTAAAACCAACATAAGGAAGTACAGTACTTCATACAATGCACAGCCAAACTGTGAACTTGTTGCGAGTGGAAGGCCAAAATAATAATGGATTCAAAAGATAAATTCATGGAAGATAGCCATTGATGGACCTATTAGCCCAGATGGTCAGGAACACAACCCCATATTCTGGGTGTCCCTAAAACCTCTGACTGCCAGAAGCTGGAACTGGACAACAGGGGATTAATTACTTGGTAATTGCCTTGTTCTGTTCTTTCTTTGAAGCATCTAGCGTTGACCATTGTTGGAAGACAATACTGGGGCTAGATGGACCATTAGTCTGATCCAATATGGCTAGGATGGCCAGATGTCCCATTTTTAAAGGGACAGTCCTGGTTTGGGGGCCTTTTTCTTATATAGGCGCCTATTACCCCCCACCCACTGTCCCATTTTTTCACAGTTGCTATCTGGTAACCCTAAATATGGCCATTCTTATGTTCTTACTCATAATTTAATAGTTTTGAACTGTAGGAGGTAGAGTACTCAAGCTAGAGCTTTAAAATATAGTCTGGAAAATAATCTTTTGTAAAGGTGATACACTTAGATTACACAGATCTAAGTAGCAGACTTCAAAAAAACATGGTATTGCTTCTAAGCTTTTTACCCCTCCATGCCAATCTCAGTTTACTCCAATCAGTATAATATCTTGTGTAATTTAATTTGTAGTATGCTGAATTTAAAATTTGAGGCCACTTAAAATAATTGGTTTAATATCAGACTTTTGCATCAACACTAAGTAAATGTTCGACAGTTGAGTAGGAGACAAGGAGGCTTTAAGCATCCAGGAAGGCTTGACATTTTAAATTAATGTCACTCAACACCTACTGAGATGAATGGGGTTAGCTCAATGGCTCTCAAACTTTTTTACTGGTGACCCCTTTCACATAGCAAGCCTCTGAGTGCAACCCCCCTTATAAATTAAAAACACTTTTTTAGATATTTAACACTATTATAAATGCTGGAGCAAAGTGAGGTTTGGGGGGAGGTTGACAGCTTGCGACCCCCCTTGTAATAACTTCATGACCCCCTGAGGGGTCCCGACCCCCAGTTTGAGAACCCCCAGATTAGCTAAATACCCTCAGACTTTGAGCTTGTCTACACAGGCATACTCAGGAAAATTAAGATGAATTAACTAAAGGTGTAAAGTTAAAGCACATTAAACTGACATAGATAATCTCATTCAGATGTAAATTGCCCTTCATTCACTTTATCCTACCTAAGACCTGGTCTACACTTAAAATTTAGGTCGACATAGCTATGGCACTATGGGGTGTGAAAAATCCACACCCTAGTGCAGTACTTATGCTGACCTCATCCCCAGTGTAGTTGCACTTAGGTCAACGAAAGAATGCTTCTATCAACTTAGCTACCGTCGCTTGGGGAGGCGGTGTTCCTACAGCAACAGAGAAATCCCTTCCACTGTGACAGGCTGGATCTACATTACAGGGCCTTAGCTATACCACTATAATCCCCATAGTGTAGAAATGGCCTTAGTGTACAGAAGGCTCTAGTGTTTCTTCCCTGCATTTTTGCCACGTCACTGTTGTGAATCTGTCTACATTAGGACATTGTAACAAAAGAGACCCAGAGAATGGAAATGAATGATTTCCATTATATCATATTTGGTGTTTTATGCCCTGAAGACTGCAAACTAAGTACAATCAGCACAGATTATTTTCACTCCTTGGTTAATATTCTGTTAATTTGCCAGACATTTATATGGTCCTGCAATTGTAGATAAAAATTGTCCTCTGGAACACGTGTTATTCAGTTTCTTATATTTTTAATTAGAAGTAATGAAATACATTTGTTGATCTGCAGTGAGGTTTCCTGGATAATTTTGTTTTGTGTCATTTGCAGTCACACATTAATTTCATGGACAAGTAACTTTAGCCACTGTTCATGGGAAGGGCTCTGAGAATTCTTTTGTCAAACTAGCCAGCCTGGGTAAGAGCGTTTTAAATTTTTGTGCATAACCACATCCACTGACCAGCATCATATAATAAATTCATAATTATCACAAAGCCACTAAAGTTCTCTCAGAGGCACATATGCATCTCCATTCTACAAAAATCAAGACAAAAAACTGATTTAAATACTTAAAATATTAAAGCTGCAGTTTTCTTGAATTATTTTAGTTTTTTGCACATTTAGTTATACTCACCTCACAACTTTGCCATCTGTTTGGAATATTGGGTCTCAGCTTCTGCTCACAAACAACTTTCCTCATTTCTTCAACTGACGGATCTGAAGGGACTAGGTCATAGTATGGTAACTGGTAGTCTTCATGTATTCCTGTAGTTTTGATTGAAGTATTTAGCATTTCTTTTTGTTTAACACCACAATTACAGATTTTTTTGTTAACTCATTCTCAAGGGTGGTTTTTTGTTTTTGTTTTTTTGGGGGCTGATATAACTCAGTACTTCTTTTATACAGTACTTTTAATCGGCAGATTTAAAATCTCTTTACAAAGGAAATAAATATTATCCAATTTTACCAATGAAGTGATTGACCAAGCTCACACAACTGCCTTAATTTAGTGCTTTGTAACTTTTTCGTAAAATGTTTACAGGCTTGTGGAAATTGTGTCTTCCTGAATTTGAACAGAAACTGGTTGTTTCATCAGCAATGAAACAAATTAAACATATTCATAAAAGCTTTTAAAAACAGCTTAATTTGCATCTGATCTTTTCATTCTGTATATTACCACATCTACTTACAAATAAGTCAATCACAAAACATAAACAATTAATACAGGTTGCAATTTACATGGGACAACGTGAACAAAATGCAAATTCCATTGCAAGTACCTTTGCCCATTTTCTTTGTTTCTATTTTAAAAGTTTTATTTGAAAAGTGATTCTTTAAAGAGCATGACTGATGCTGTTCTAGGCTTAAACTGAAAACGTGAATCCCAATACAAGAGCAACTATAACCACCCTCCAATATTGGGAGAGTTTTCCATATTGCACTTTAAATACTTAGGAATAAGTCTTAGTACTGTGTGAGGAAGAGCAGATGTACACTTCCCATTACTGATAGACTCCTAGACTTTAAGGCCAGAAGGGACCATCAAAATCATCTAGTCAGACCCTCCTGCACATCGCAGGTCACAGAACCTCACCTACTCCTGCAATAGGCTCATAACCTCTGGCTGAGTTACTGAAGTCCTCAAAATTGGATTGGAAGATTTCAAGTTAGAGAATCCACATTTACGCTAGTTCAAACTAGCAAGTGACATGTGCCCCATGCTGCAGAGGAAATCAGAATCCCGCCCTGCCCCAGGGTCTTGGTCAATCTGACCTGGGGGAAAATGACAGTTAGACCCTGAGCATATGGACAAGACCCACCAGCCAGCCACCTGGAAGATAATTCTCTGTAGTAACTCAGAGCTCTCCCCATTTAGGGTCCCATCCGCAGCTGCTGGAGATATTTGGGAACAGCAGATTGCTTAAACTGGCATATAGCCAATCTCATCATACCATCCCCTCCATAAATTTATCAAGCTCAGTCTTGAAACAAGTTAGATTTTTTGCCCCCACGACTCCCCGTGGGAGACTGTTCCAGAACTCCATTCCTCTGATGGTTAGAAACTCTAGTCTAATTTCAAGCCTAAAATTTGTTGAGGGCCACTTTATATCCATTCGTTCTTGTGCCAACATTGGCCTGTAACTGAAATAAGCCCTCTCCCTCCCCGGTGTTTATCCCTCTAATGTTTTTATATAAAGCAATCCTATCTCCCCTCAGCTTTCATTTTATTAGCCAAGCTTAAGTCAAGTCTCCTCTCATATGGCAGGTTTCTCCATTCATCTAATCTTCCTAGTAGCCTCTCTCTGCACCTGTTACAGTTTGAATTTATCTTCCTTAAAGATGGGAGACCAGAGCTGCTCACAGTGTTCCAGAGGAGATCTCACCAGTGCCTTTTACAACTATAAAAACACTTCTGTCTCTTCCCGAGATGATTTGTGTCAGAAAAATTGCATTTTAAACTAGGTATCTGAACATTACCTGCACATATCCTTACCAGTGCAGTCAGTCCCACACTTTCAAGGGCACCAACTTTGCCCTTTTTCTATATGACTTTTGGGACAAATTCTGCTCTGGTATAAGGAGGGGTGGCTCTCAATTTCAAGAGGAGTTTCTTTTACTTACTCCAGGCTTAGCCATATATCATTTACAGATAAGCCCTTGTTAAGAAACTTGAGAGGTGCTCATTATTTGACACTAGTTGACTGAAGCAAAAGATAAAATGGTTTTAAAAACTAAGTATAAACCATGGAAAGTATGCTAAATTATGTAGTATAACAAAATGATTGTGGAAAATAGGTATGCAAAACTGTTCAGAGTCTTCAAACAATCAGTACAAAAACTTATAATTTAATATGCTCACGTACCACCAATTGAACATCGCCGTGCTATTTCCCAGAACACTAATCCCATCGCATAGATGTCGGCTCGCTTGAATGACTCAAAATGTTTCATATTTATGGAATCATCTAGGACTTCAGGAGCCATGTATCTATTAAAAATAAAAATCAAAATATCTTATGCCATAAAATGCATACTGCACTAAGCTTTTTCAGTATTTCTTCAGCTCCAACACATTGAACAAATCAGCTTAACAGAAGTCAATAAATTAGGAAAATTATGACGTACTACTTAAAGAGTAGAATTTTCAAAATCACTGCATGTTGGCCTAATTCTGATTCCATTAAAGTCAGTGGTAAAATGCCTATTGAATTAGTCAACAGAAGCAATTAGACCAATCCTGAGCGCTTTTCAATATCCCACCCTATGTCACGCACCAATCTGCATGGCCTTGGTACAATGAAAAGCAGCTCAGTTACTTCCAGGTGTCTAACATGTGACCCTTGAGGCTTGTGTCTGTGGTCCTCAACTGTTAAGATTAATTACTGTATTTGATTACAAATTGAAAATATGTTCAATAGCTTTATTCCAGCAGGTGAAAGGAGGCAAGAAGCAAAGCAGCTTCTGAGCTACTGCCATTTTAGGAAGGGGAAATGATAGCGAGACAGAAAGCTGGAGCCATAGAATCTTCACAAGGGGAGGGAGAGCAAGCAACACAGTGGCTGCAATATCCAGGAGACACACAGAGACAGGAGTAGTGGCAGCAGCAGTGGATCTGTGGGAGAAGATAATTACTTTTGAGGAAGGGGGCAGGTTGAAGGACAAAAGAGAGGAATTTTGCATTAGGGGGCATTCCTAAAGAGCATGGGGAAGAAGGGAGAAACATGGGAGTTAGAATATGTTGCTAGACATGCTAAAACCCTGTGGGCTGTGTTGGAGGGAGGCATGGCTGGGGACTGCTAGAGAATGGAAAAAAGTTGTTACTAGCCATACAGTAACTGGTTCTTCGAGATGTTGTGATCAGCATGGATCAACTGTAGATTCACATGTGCCTCACACGCAAGATCTGATTTTTTTTGCATACTGATATTCATTGGGGCCACATGAGGGTATACAGAGCAGAATGCAAGGGAGGATCAGGGCCAATGTAGCAGAGGACTCTAAAAAGAAGGGGTGGAGGTTGGATCATAGGAGCCACACTGACATGTCAAAGAACCACACTTATAGGTACAGTATATGCCAGTGTGGATCCTCCTCTAGGTGACTGGCAAGTTGTAGCCCCTCAGGAATGAGGAATATCAGCTGCATCATTTCAACAGTGCTAATAGTACTGCTTTCCCATACTTGCCATCTATTCTAGCAGCTAAATCCAATGCATAATGCTTGACAAACGGTAATGGGTTACTCCATGTCATCTCCTTGGAGATCTCAAATTGACATTTTTAAACAGGCAGAGGATAATTGCTTGAGTTCTGGTGAAGTGCCTTGATTTGCAGTGGAAGAGGTACACCAGCCAAATAGTAACAGCAAGATACACTGAGTTATCCATTTCAATATCCCCTGTGGGGACATTGGCTTAACTTTTAGAACACCCAGCTATGGCTATAAATAGCCAGGACAAGAGTCTGAACGATTTGGTCCTGTCAACATAAAGCAAAGTCCCGGGTGCATTTAGTGTGTGTACTTTTTCTCCCTGTGCCAAGTGTATCGTTGGAAAGAAGACAAGCAGGTTGATTGACTGGTTTAGATAACAGACCATGTTAGGAATTAACTGTGGACATGATCTCAGCACCACCTTTTCTCTGTGGAATGCAGTATGTAGGATTTGGCCATAAGTGCCTGAAGCTCATTCACTCTCCTGGCTGAAGTAATGGCCATCAACAAGATAAGGGGGAGGGATAGCTCAGTGGTTTGAGCATTGGCCTGCTACACCCAGGGTTGTGAGTTCAATCCTTGAGGGGGCCGTTTAGGGATCTGGGGCAAAAATCTGTCTGGGAATTGGTCCTGTTTTGAGCAGGGGGTTGGACTAGATGACCTCCTGAGGTCCGTTCCAACCCTGGTATTCTATGATTGTCTTCAGAGTGAGGTGGTGCAGGAAGCAGTCAGATTCAAACGGAAATGCCAGGAGTCTCAAAAGTACTAGATCAAGGTCCCAGACAAAAATAGGTTCTTCTGACCAGCGAGTAAGATGTATCATGGAATGAGAAAGGGGAGCACAGTTGTACAGGTATCTGGCAATGTGAAATTGTACACGGTACACTGTAACAGAGCTGAATGAGAGGCATGTCTTTTCAAGTGCAGTAAGTAGTAGGGGATCTGAGGTGACCAGGTCCAGACAATGCTAGGCTGTCCACAAAATAGAGAATAGTTTCAACTTCAATGAGTAAGTTCTTAAGAATATTTTCCTCCTCTGAATCAGGATTTTGGGGATTCAACCAACCAACAGTTGGACTATCAGGTACATCAACTTTAGGCTAGATGAATTATCTGGCCATGGTGTTGTGAGAACAGGTCTAGGTATTCTGGGAGTTGGACTAGATGGACACATGTAGTAGGTCAGAATCAAAACTGCCTCAGTCAGTACAAAGCTACAAGAATGAGTATGGCCATGTCTCCTGATTTTGGAAGTCACCCTAGGGAAAAGGGAAACTTGTGGAAAGGCATGCAAGCTGCCTTCAGACCACTGCAGAATCAAGGAGCCAAGTAACAACCCTGGGATCATATAGAAACAAAAAAGTTCTGGCACTTGGACTTTATATCAGTGGTAAACAGGTTATCACGGTGGTTCCCCAATGTATGATTATCAGCTCTAATAGACTTCCACAGCAACCACTTTTAAGTGGTGACTGACTGCTCAGAGAGCCCACCACATTGTTGCTGATGCTCAGGAGGTGAAGGGCCATTGGTGTTATGCTGTGTTGATGACACCATGTCCAGAGTTTAAGGACTCCACAAACAGGAAAAATGAGCATGTGCCTCCCTGCCTGTTTATGTAGTGCATCAAAGGTGTTGTCCATCAGGAGCTGAACTGTGAAGTTTTGAAGCACAGAATGAAAGGTAATGTAGCCTAGCCTGATGACTCTGAGCACTAACACATTGATGTCCTACCAGGTCCAAGTCCCTTGTATCTGTTACTCTTGAGGACATTCTGCACACACACACAAAAAATCCACACAATATTTTTAAATTCTGCAAATTTTGTCAAATAAATGTGGAAGCTCCAGCATGGCATTGGGGAGCACAGGCCTCTGGCTGCACAGAGGTGGGAGATCATTGTGCAGCTCCCCCCAGGAAACCGAGTCTCAGAAGTGAAGCTGCACCCAACCCTGACACAGCGCAAGGACTGGCCCTGCCCCAGAAACACCCGAGGGTCCTGCCCCTTTGTTCCAGGTGTACACCAAGTGTGGGCAGGCAGGCTCAGCAAGGCAAGATCCAAGTGTGCTAAGTGTGGGGGGGGATCCAGGTGTGGGGTAATCTGGGTGCGGGCGGCTCAGTGGGGGATCCAGGTGTGTGCGGGGGGGATCTGTATGCACAGGGGCTTGTTGGGAGGTTCTTGGTGCAACAGTAATGGGACTCTGCAGGGGGGTCCAGGTGAAGGTGGTCCAGGCTCAGTGGGGGAGGTCTGGGTGTGGGGGAGATAGAGCTTGGCAAGGGGGTGTGGAGGGCTCGGGGGGGGGGGGGGTCCAGATGCAGCTGGTTGGGACTTGGTGGGGATGGGATCTGGGGGATGGGAGGCTCGGCAGAATGGTCCAGGTGCAGGGAGAGTGGGGCTCATCGGGGTGTGTGGGGGGGAGGCTCGCTGGGAGGGTCTGGGTATGAGGGGGTCTGGAGGCACAGGGGTTGGGCAGATTGGGGAGCAGCTCCCTGTACAGGGATCCCTCCCCCTGCAGCTGAGGAGCAATAGGTGCAGGAAGCAGGTAAGGGAGTTTGCAGAACTTCCTTCAGCTGAGGGAGAAATCTGGGGGTGGGTTGGACCTGCCCCTGGATGCTGTGCAAAGGAAGAAGTTCCGTCCTCCCAGCACAGCCAGGACTAGCAGCTGATCCTGGTACAGGGTAGGAGCCACCAGCTGGATCTTCCCCAGTCCCGCCTCCTGCCCCACAGTGATTTACCTCTCTGCCAGTTTCCCTGGGCCCCTGAAACATACTGCTGGGGAGAGCTGATGACCGCTCTTGTGGCTTACCTTTGCTTCCCAGTCAGAAAGTCATTTTTCTGTGGGGAAGCAAAAGAAATCTGCAATGGACATAGGGTGACCAGACGTCCCGATAAAATCGGGACCGTCCCGATATTTAGGTATTTGTCCCGCGTCCCGATCGATCTTCGGTCGGGACGCTGCACTCCGCTTCCCCCCCCCGCCGGCAGCACTCGGCTGTTCTCAGCTTTTTCCCCCCCGCCCCCCTCCCTCCTCTGACTGCCGGCAGCACTCAGCTGTTCTCGGTTGGTTTTTTTTCCCCCCCCTCTCCTGAAAACCAGAGGCTGAAGGTATTTTGCATGGCATGCCTGGAGCCACGAGGCTCATCACACAATGATGGCTGTGGGCATCAACCCTGTAGCCATATCAGAACAGTCCATAGCCACCTGTAGCGACATTCTCATGACCATCTGTCCCTCACCACTGATGATTCCATCTAGCAGTACTTTTTACCCAGGACCAAGATTAAATAGAACAAAGTCCTGCACCAGTGTAAATTTCTTCCCCTGAAGTAGTTTTCTAATCTAGAGAGTAAGAAATTAAAATAGATCCCTAATCCTGAAGGCCTCTGAGAATGCACATTCAAAGGAATATTATAAACAAGAATAAAATAGCCTTGGTTCAAGGGGGAATGGATGAATAAAACAGTAATAAAGATTTCTGAAAGAAGAATAGCAACAATAAGATATGTGCTGAAGTTGGGTGCTTTCAGTCTGGAGACTTGTATAACACTGATGGGATAAACCTGAATTTATGCCATGTCAGTCTTTTAGTAAAATACAGAATTAACTTTGTGTGGCTCTTCTGTGGTTCTCAGGAGTAGGAATTAATGTTGAACTGGATAGGGTTGATAACATGCTACTAAAGTTTTAGGCCTGATAAGGAACAAAGACTTTGTCTAAACTGGACAACTTTTTAGCTGTAATTCAGAATTAGAATAGCCCCAGCATCATTAACAATGAGGGCAACTGTAGCAAAGAATGGAGTAGAGCTTAATTGTCCTGTCTACAATTCTGTTGGCAGCACTGTAACCATGTTGGTCTCAGGATATGAGACAGACAAGGAAGGTGAAGTAATATTTTATTGGACCAAATTCTGCTGGTGAAAGGGAAAAGCTTTTGAGCTACACTATGTTCTTCTTCAGGTCTGGGAAAGGTAATCAAGAATGTCACAGGTAAATACAAAATGGAACAGAGTGTTGCAGCAAAGGTGAATTATGACTAAAGATTTTAACTACACAGATGCGGCCAAAGAGAAATGAAGTAAGGTCACTATTAAACGCACATTTTTTTTTAAAGAAAGTAAACCCCCGGTTTCCCAACCTGGGAGGTGGGTTCCTAAAGGAAGAGAGAGAGAGCGCATGCTGGCCTATACATTTCAAACCTACTCCCTAATCAAAGGCTAGAGACCATTGCCTTTCCCAACCTCATGGTATTCGGTATAGGCAACTTTTCATATTTCCCTCACAAGATATCTGTCCAACACCACGTTACAGGCTAGATACCCTACTCTGCACCATTCACTTCCTATATTTGGTCAGACAACTATATTACATATTTCAGGCTGATGTCAGGCACCAACTTTCTATTTCCATCCGGCATATACTACCCTATATACCCTTACTGATTCGTCTAAAATAACTCCTGTATATGACAAACTGAGACTGGATGGAGGTTATATCATTATACAATAGAAGGCTTTGTGATCGTAATTCACACAAGAAGCCAGTTAGCTGGGAATACAATCATAGAAGTATAGGACTGGAAGGGACCTCAATATGTCATCTAGTCCAGTCTCCTGCACTCAAGGCAGGACTACGTAATCACTAGAAAATTCCTGACAGTTGTTTGTCTAACCTTGTCTTATAAACCTCCAATGATGGGAGATTCCACAGCCTCCCTAAGCAATTTGTTAAAGCGCTTAACTACCCTGAAAGGAAGTTTTTCCTAATGTCCAACCTAAACCTCCCTTGCTGCAATTTAAGCCCGTTGCTTCTTGTCCTATCCTCAGAGGTTAACAAGAACCATTTTTCACCTTCCTCCTTGTAATAACCTTTTATGTACTTGAAAACTATCACATCCCCCCTCAGTCTTCTATTCTCCAAACTAAACAAACTCAATTTTTTCAACCTTCCCTCATACGTCATGTTTTCTAGACCTTTAACCATTTTTGTTGCTCATATCTGAACTGTTTCCAATTTGTCCACATCTTTCCTAAAATGCGGCGCCCAGAACTGGACACAATACTCCAGCTGAGGCCTTATCAGTGCGGAGGAGAGTGGAAGACTTACTTCTCATGTCTTGCTTACCACACTCCTCCTAATACATCCCAGAATTATGTTCATTTTTTTTTTTTTGCGCGCACAACAGTGTTACACTGTTGACTCATATTTAGCTTGTGACCCACTATAACTCCTAGATCCCTTTCTGCAGTACTCCCTCCTAGGCAGTCATTTCCCATTTTATGTGCACGCAATTGATTGTTCCTTCCTAAGTAGAGTACTCTGCCTTTGTCCTTATTGAATTTCATCCTATTTACTTCAGACCATTTCTCCAGATCATTTTGAATTTTAATCCTATCCTTCAAAGCACTTGCAACCGCTCCCAGCGTAGTATCATCCATAAACTTTATAATTGTATTCTCTATACCATTATCTAAATCATTTATGAAGATATTGAAGAGGTGCTGATCTCCCAATACCCAGTACCATTTGCACAAATTTTTGCAGTGCTATAGACACACAGAGACCCAGATTGAGCAAGGCTCTTAACCATGGAGTAGTTCCATTGACTGGAAAGGATGGGTGTGGGGGAAGCCCTGCCTGCCGCAGACAATTTTGTAGGCTATTGGTCATACTGCCATTCAGACCCATGACTATCAATCTCTTACACAGAAAGGAGAGGAAGACACATTTTGAAGAAAAATAATTTGATAAGTATGTTAATGATTTTACCTTTTTGTTCCCACTCTGTGGTTTGGGGCAATATCAATTGTATCTGTAGCTGAATCATGTCTCACTGCCAGTCCTAAATCCGCAATACAACACGTTCCATTCTTTTTCACCAATATATTTTTTGATTTCAAGTCTCTATGAGCAATGGCTGGTTTTCCTGCATAGGAGGAGGGGGAAAAAAAGGGTAGAAGAGGTAAAAGTCCCAAAACAAATCCCTACTACTAACTAAAGAATGTTTCAGAAATCCTCTACTACAGATTCTCACCTGGGTGAGGAGTTCAAGATTTTGAGGTTATGAATCAAAGTATCACATTTGTATCTATAATGTGAAGGGTTGAAGTGGAGTTATAAATGTAAGTTTCATTTAAACCTGCTTGAAGGAAACAGAAGGATGTGCTATATTGGTAGAACAGCAGTGATCTACATATGTGAAATCTGTAGGTTAATATAATCACTATATTCTAGGAATTTAGCAGTGATTTGTCTATAGCTGGGGGGGGGGGAGTACTAGCTAGAGTCACACTTTCATCTTTGTACAGTTGTGACTACAAAACAATAGCGGAGTAAACAGAACAATACATTGAACATCACTGGAGGTTGTTTTGGAAAGACTATTCATATGAATTGAGCAGCTAATGCATAACAAAAATGGTGTAATAAGCTAATGTCTTTGGTGTAGCAACAATTTTTTTTATACAATTGTGCCTTCTAGGTACTACCATAATACTATATGATAATAACAGAAATGTTGAGACAGCACTTTCATTCTAAACTCCTGTGTTTAACTACTTATAACTTTGAGCAAAGATTATCCTTTGGAATGACATTACTTATAAAACTTAGTTTCAAAGCAGAAGCATTTGTTTACCACGAACCCCACAAACAATTTCAATGTTCATACAAGCATACTTAATAGAGATCTTTTTAAAATGAAAGGAACTATTGAAGGAAAGACCTGTTGTCTACCAATGCCTGTAAGGGCTTGTCTACATGAACATTTAGTTTGTGCTAAGCTACGGTGTGAATCTACCCCAGTCTAGTCTGCCACACACTGAACTGTCTGTATGAACCTTGCTGATGAACAGTTAGTGTGCTTTAATCTACTCTGCTCTGAAATGGAAATAGATGAAACCACACTAATGAACTGTTTGTCCATGTGGACCCTGTTGACACGCACTGCTAGTGCATGGCAGAAGCAGACCCCAGCTTGCAGTGAACTAAATGTTCACGTAGACGAGTCCCAACCTGCAGTTATAGGAAACTGATCTTGTGAGATATATGTCTGCATGATCCTAAGGTACTATACTTGCTCAATGCTGCAGAGGAAAGCAAAAAGTACCAAGGCTCCCTGCAAGCATGTCCCAGAAGAAGATTCCTTCTAAACTTTCAAATTTTTCCATCAGTTTAAATACCATAGTTAAGGTTATAAACCTATACAAGTCCCAAGATAATGACGACATCCAAATCATTCTTTTCTGTGAATGCTGATCCACTTATTTTAAAACACTTTACACATTCAAAAAGCATTACAATCAATCTTTACTATATACCCATCGCTGTTGATACAGTAAGTAATTAATCACATTTTACAAATATGAAAACTAAGGCTGAGGTATAACTTGCTCAAGGCCACACAGCAACTCAGTGGCACAGCCAAGACTAAACACTGATCAAATTCTGGAATACAACATTTTGTTGAAATTCTAGGGGAAGCCTTCTACATAAATAATTTTCACGGAAGAGAGAGAGAGAGAGAGAGAGAGAGAGAGAGATTAGGTTGGATTGGATTTTTTTTTGGTAAGACCCCCAATTTGCAACTTCTGTATCTTCAAAACATGATAAACACCAGTACAAATATTTACCTAAAACAATTCCCTTTGGGTAGTGCCTATGTTTTGCCTGTAGCTGCCAAGCTCACAGCAGGACCAATATGCTGCAGAACTATCTTCACTTATATGAAGCCTCATTGGTCTCTCCTGTTCTTTCTAAGGCACATAGGTTAGCCTCTTGAGGATTGAATGCTTTAGGTATCTGGGCAAAAATTAATGGGCTGTGGTGTACAGGAGGTCAGACAAGAAGATCTAATGTTTCCTCTGGCCTTAAACTCTATGAAACAATCTAATTTAACTTCACACCTTTAAATTGTAATAACTTAGACTCATAGACTTTAAGGTCAGAAGGGACCAATATGGTCATCTAGTCTGACCTCCCGCATGATGCAGGCCATAAATGTTGACCCCCCCACTTTCCCTTAACTCTGCTGTTGAAGTCTCCAGATCGTGATCTAAAGACTTCAAGTTGCGGAGAATCTTCCAGCTTGCGACCCCTGCCCTATGCTGCGGAGGAAGGCGAAAAACCTCCAGGGCTACTGCCAATCTACCCTGGAGAAAACTTTCCTGAGTCTCCCTGTGTAGATAAGCCCTTATAGCTCAGACAGTGTCTGTAGAGCAGTGGTAGGTAACCTGCGGACCGTGGACCACACACAGCCCATCAGGGTAATCTGCTGGCGGGCCGTGAGACAGTTTGTTTACATTGACTGTCCACCGGCATGGGCGCCCGCAGCTTCCAGTGGCCGCAATTTGCTGTTCCCAGCCAATGGGAGCCACAGGAAGTGGCGCGGGCCACAGGTACGTGCTGGCCACCACTTCCCACAGCTCCCATTGGCCGGGCATGATGAACCGTGGCCACTGGGAGCTGCAGACAGTCAATGTAAACAAATTGTCTCACGGCCCGCCAGCAGATTACCCTGATGGGCTGCGTGCGGCCTGCAGGCCACAGATTGCCCACCACTGCTGTAGAGGAAGAAATCAGTGTTGAGCAACTTTCCTGACACCAAAGCCACACTACTCTGCTATTATCTTATGAAGATACTTTTTCTTTTCTCCACTTATGGAATGTGTTATACACACACACAACACTTATAATGGAAATCTTAATTAGGAGTGAAAAGAAATTGAGACCAGTCTGAAATATAATTTCAGGATTTTGTGTTTTCCTTAGGATACAAGACATAAGCCACAATCTGTGTTCAATAAAATATTTGAAGAATGTTCTAGGATTTATGAAAAATCCAACTTCTTACGAAATACTGAAAAATCAGCTCCTTTTACTGTTAAGGATATTCTTTCTCCAGATAAAAAGAAAAAAAAGTGTTTCCAGAGTAACTATTTTTTCTTGTCTTGTTTTTCTGACAAGTAGGTACTGCAGCTAATCTCTCTCAAAATAAAGAACATTTTAAAGTAAACTCTTATGTTTTGAGACTTGAGTCACAGGCCTGTAGCATTTTGCCATATTAAAAAAAAAAGATTTTTGTTATGAGAAAATTCCACTCAGATCTGTTACATATGGTATCGACATTTTTGAACACTTTATTGGTTTTATTCCACTCACTGAAGGTTAGCATGCACCCAGTGCACTTGAGCTGAAGAATTTTGGTCAGCAGTATCCATTGGGGAGGTGCATGAACCCTGAGTGTCCTCATGCCTCTAGTTGAAAGAATAAAGGGCAGGGTCACCTCAACAATTCTCCCCATCCAGTTCCTTTGCACTGGAATCTTGAGGATACTAGACTACAGTAGCAGCAATGTAGTGTGTGTGTGTCATAGAATGTGGGTACACAACACATCTTGAACCATAACTACTTTACAGGTAAGTAACCATTTCTTTGAGCGTTTGTACATGTATTCCACTGTAGATGCCTCCCCCAACCAGTACACCTTTGGTGGCGGAAAATCAGAATCTATTTGAACTGTCTTACCAAAGTTTGCATCAGCTCTGGATGCTTCAATGATGGCATAATGTTGAGCAAACATGTACCAAAGACTGAGCTGTTGCTTTACAAAAGTCTTTGACTTGATCATTGCTAAGAAAAGCCATGGAAGTAGCTTGAGCCCTAGAAGACTGCACAGTAATCCTTGCTGGTGGTGTCACCTTTGCTAGGTCATAACAAATCCTGATGAAGGCAGTGATCCAGCTGGAAATTCTTTATGATGTTACTGTCTGGCTTCTCATTCTCTCTGCATAAGCTACAAAGAGTCTTAGTGAGGATCTATCAGTTTTCTCCAGTCTATATAAAAAGAAAATGCCCTACAACTATCCAGTGAGTGCAGCTATCATCCCTGAAAGCATGTGGTTTTGGAAGAACATTGGTAAATTTGACACTGGTTTAGGTGGAATTCAAGACCACTTTTGATAAGAATTTGGGGTGAGGCCTTAATGAGACCTTATTCTTATTAAAAAAAACACACACTGTATATGGGCATGTGACATGAAAATTTCCCACAATATTTTTGAGAGATCTTACTAAGTAAGTTTATGTATCATTGTGGGCCATAGATTATATGTAATTCCATGGCGGAGGGTGACTACAGCTCCTGCAAGAACTAAGAACAGCAGAGGGTGAGATTAGTCAAATTCATTCACTTTGTAACACCTCCAGAGAAGTACCATCACCTGGACAGGTTCACATGCACTAGCTCAAACTGGATTCTCCAGAGACCAGACAAGGAAAGGACTCTTGGATAAATATCTTGAGTTTAAACGACTCAGGGCCTTCTTTCTGATCCAACAAATGGACAGAAAGTTCTGTCCCAGAAGGAGGGGAAGCAATCCTTGCAGAAGGATTGGAAGGACTGACACTGATCCAAGCCCTCGATGGAGTTGCAGGGGGTGAGGGTACAGGGATGATCGCTGGCAAGCTATTTTATCATGTGTATAGGGTTGGAGGGGAGGAGGTTGGGGGGGGAGGAAGAGAGAGAGTTTCTCTGCAAAGCTTTTATGTGGAATGAATGTGTTTGCTTAGAAAGTGCTGGGTGGTAATTACAGCTGTTCATAGCTTTTGAAGAGAAAACAGAGTGCAGATGCTAGCACAGGCCTGCATAACATGCGGCCCGCGTGGGCTCACTGTGCAGCCCGCGGGGGTTGAGTAGGTGGGCTCACTGTGCAGCCCACGGGGGGGGGGGGGGGGGGTAGGCAAGCGGCAGGTGAAGGAGGGGGGGGGAGTAGGCGGGCGGGCGGGCAGTGGCGGGGAGGGAGTAGGCGAGCCAGGGGAGGGGGGTTGAGGAGGCGAGCAGCGAATCGGTGGCTGACCTGTTCTACTGATCTGGTCTGGCTCCCATCCCCTCTCCCAGGGCCAACTCCAGGCACCAGCAAAACAAGC